ACTCCAATAGCTTCATGTCTCGCACCTCTCGTCTGTGGAATTCCCTTCCTATTACTTGTTTCCCTGTTAGCTATAATCTCCAACTATTCATATGTAAATGTCAATCGACATCTCCAGATGCCCTGAACTATCCCCTACTCGTCTCTTTCTTCTTTCCACCATCACACCTCTTTACTCTCGCTCCCACTCTGTAACACCCTGTTTAGTAGTGGCATCCCGTCTTGCTTGGGGTGAAATGCTTAAAAAAATTGCCGAAGAAATTCACTAAAATAGGTTACTAGAATCTGGATTTATACATTTTTATTCGAAATTGGCAACAAAAATGTTAAACACTATTTGTGAGACAGTTTAATTACAAGTGTTTAATAAAAGTCTAATTACAAAAATAGTGTTTAATAAAAATTAATCTTCATTTTCTGAAACATATGTTGAGTCCATGCTTAAATGTAATTGTCAGAAATAGCCAACAAACAAAATTGACAAAGTTTCCAATAAACAATAAGAAAGGAAAGAAAAGAACAGGGCAAAAATAATACGAAGCAAACAATATATATATATATATATATATATATATATATATATACAGTTGCGGCCAAAATGTTCAGAACGGTATTGTTTTCGTCAGAAAAGTAGATATAAGTTTTTATCAAAGTTGTTTTATATTCTATAATTTTCACAGACAATAAAGACGATATTCATTGTTATTGTCTGAAATTTTGGTGTAATTTGAGAGGATAATACAAAAGTTATGGATGATTTAGTGATTTACTGCAAAACCCTAAAAAAAATTATACCTACTTTTCTGACGAAAACAATGCCGTTCTGAACATTTTGGCCGCAACTGTATATATATATATATATATATATATATATATATATATATATATATATATATATATATATATATACAAACAAAAGTAATCAAAGCAACAGTAATAAGGCAAATAGTTCACAAAGTAAAAATGCTGCTAAGACAAAAGCGGTATAGACAAGTGATCACAGCGTTCTGATTTCAAGTCAATAAAAAAACAAGAATAAGGCGGATGAGACCGAGATGTGGTCTATCTGATTGGTCATCTGTATGATTTGTCTATAAAGTTGGGGGTGAGGTCTGTTTTTGGAGTCATTCTAACCAGATTGAAAACAACAACTTTTTATAAGGAAACTGCTAATATAATCATTATCATTACAATACCTGTATGTGCGTGTGTGTGTGTGTGTGTGTGTGTGTGTGTGTGTGTGTGTGTGTGTGTGTGTGTGTGTTTGTGATGGGTTAGTTGGATTGCTAAACTTTGGACAATGTTATGGACTATCCCCGCTGACTACGTGTGCTTATCATTTACACTTAAATTTTCTCGACAGAGTTCATCTTGCACATTTACACCATTCACCCGTGCATACTGCTGCCATATCTGGTCTGGTGTTCCTGCTATTCATCTCGAGGCTATTGACAAAATCTAAAGAATGACCTGTAATGTAATCTATCCTGACTTGGCATCTCGAATTGAGTCACTTTCTCACCAACGTGGTGTGGCCTCCTTCTGTATTTTCTACAAATATTTTCATGGCAAATACTGTGACTAGCTTTTTTCCCTGGTGCCTCGACTGCGCGAATTTAAGCGTGCCACTAGAATGTCATTTAGGTCTCACCACTCTTACTGTTGAATGCAGCCGCCAATTCTATTCCAACAGTTTCTTTTTTCGCACTTCCATCCTGTGGAACTCCCTTCCGTTTACTCGCTTCCCCTGATAAATACAATCTTCAAGTTTAAATGCAACACCAATCGTTATCTTCTGTCTTCTTGAATGCCGCTCATGTTTGGCCCTTTCCTCAATCCTCCCTCATTTTCTCTCACTTTCACTTGCTGTAAACCCCTGCATACTAGTAGCCTTGACTGGGGTGAAATGATAAAAAATGTACAGCTGAAATCCAATGGCTAATTAGAATAGCGAAAGATGACTTTCAAAAGTTAAACATGGTATTAAGAAACAGGAAAATGTCCTTAGATACAATCAACGAGTGCTGTACTATTATATGCTCATTGTATGTGTTTGTGAATGCTAAACAATTTCCTAACAGATGAAGAATAGACTTGAGGTAACAGAAATTTGATTCTAAAAAAGTATGCTGAGAATACCATGGACGAAGCATGTGAGAAACGAGGAAGTTTAAGGAAAATAGAAAGAAAAACACCACTTAGAATCAGAAAAAGACAGTTGAAAATTCTGGGAAAGATGATGAGGAAAGAGTGCTTGGAAAATTTGATACTCACAGGATATATTGAAGGCAAGAGGGGCAAAGGAAAAAGTAAATGGTTAGGAATTTTTTTAATCACTAATAAACATCTCGATTATTTCATATCCAGTGTGTTGTTTGAATGGTCATAGAATCTGGGGAAAAACAATAGAAATAAAATTAAAAAAATGACCAGTTGAAAAGAGTGCTTATTAGAAAATTGTATCATTCATTATTTAAAAAATAATCTTTAAAAAGAAAGAT